ACTTTAAGATGCTGTAGGTTGAAAAATTAGTGGAACTTACGTGGAAAGGATCGTTGTCTAGTTGATTATTAGTGACTTTGACTCGATCGAAAGACACGGTTTTGCTCATCCATGCTCTTCCAGTGTCCACAGCTCCATCATGATGAGGAATGCTACGTGATGGAGTTTGTAGCTCACCTTTGCCATTTGTGGACCATTCTCCTGCACTGAACTTGTATCTGAAAATGATTAGGATTATCAAGATAACTAATCTTCATAAGGAGTATTAGATAGAAGGAGGAGATCCCTTACCTCATCTCGTCAACTCGTTCAATTCGTAACATAACTGCATACGGCTCATCAGGTTTCATCCCAAATAGCTTGTACTCTATTTTTGGGAATATTTTCCTATAAGGAAATCATTTAAAGATAAAATTTACAGAATGTATAAACGAGGAATCTAAAGAAACAGATTAGTAGAGGTAGTTTTCTTACTTTATGATATAGGCCTTATGATATAACATCAATTAATATTTTGGCCACACATATTGAATTGCTAATTATTTTCTACACCCTATCTCACTGACAGTGACTTAGATTAAAATAGACAATGCTGTGTTGAAATGTATACTTGCACACTACCCTGCATAAAAAACAAATAATTATTTCTTACTACAAACACAAAACTATTTTGAAAGCACAGAAACTTAACGTTCCAAATACTAATTTGTCGATTCCTAGTGTACCTAATAAATGCTTTTTTTATTTAAATCTATTTAGGGACTATCGGGCTCATATTCTACTCTATATCGTGGCTCTGAAGGAAGCTAATTCAAAAGAAAAATGCAAGGATTGTATCCGCTAGAAGGATCAATGACTTTCGCTGAATTCAAAACTTTTTCTCCAAAACACTCAAGATTTTAGAAATTTGGGGCTTTAAATGTACAAAAAGCATCTTAGAACTTCAAGTTTTTTGTCTGCAGGTGACTAAAATCGCTATTTGAACTAAATCATCTATAACTGCTGATTCGCACCAGCTGTCAATAGACATCTATGCACTGCTAACTCAAATATGTTATTGTATCTATGTGAAAAAAATAAAATGGAGTTTTCAGTAGGATTACTGACGAAAGCATGAAATAACTCCATATAAAGTGAGGGTATCTCTTTAAGAATAAGAATTCTAGCTTCACTTATGTGATAGTTTTCT